TTCCTTCCTTCCTTCCTTCCTTCCTTCCTTCCTTCCTTCCTTCCTTCCTTCCTTTCTTTCTTTTTTTTTTGTTTGTAAAAATGTGTCTCCCCTTTCTGGAATGAGAGAAAAAAAATCCATGGCTTCAGGCCAAAAATAAAGGAAGGTCTTCCCTGAGTGAATGCCTGTGTTTAGCTCTTTGCAAGTTTAGAACTTCTTGGGTGTAGCCTCATTCAAATGGGTAAAAATCATGACTACAGGTGCCTTTGGATGTGAAGATGTACCATGGATTTGTTAGGGAACTAAAGGGGTTATGATAGACTGCGTGGATTTCAGTGCAACGTTCTTTTTACAGCCGAATGTGATGCAAACAGATAATTAATGATGTGGACTGTCTGTGTTTGTTCACCCACAGGTGAAAACCAGGTGCTAGAATCAATGGTTCTGCCCGTCACAGAGAGATGTCCAGTCAGCTCCTCAGGCACTGATGAGGTTTCAAAGCTCAGGAAACATGTTCCTGAAAGAGGTCAACAATGCATATCTGAAACTTGGGTAAGAGGCAGATGGTGTTAGGAGAACATTCTTTTTCATGAACAAGCAACTCAAATAGGGAAAATGAAAAAAAGGTTGAAAGAAACAGATACATAGAAAAATTAAATGCAATAAAAAAGAACTCATGCTCTACTACCAACCTATTTTAGTCTGTAGTGTGTCTCTGTGTGTGTCCCTCACATGCATATATGTATATGTTACGCTGTTCATGGATATTATACTTTAAGATAAGAATGTTGACAAGGAGAAAGAGAAATGATGTTCAAGATGCAGATGAAATGTCCTTAAAGAGTTGGATTGTTTTAGACCATATAACAGGTAACACTCCCAGTGCTCAATGAATCTAGTGTGTGGCCCTGAAGATAGAGCCTTGATTGTACTTGGGTTCAGTGGTCCTCTGACTATCTTTGGCAAGGGTAGGTAAAGAAGATTGCACTCTAACACATCAACCTGTCAGATCAGAGGCTATGATGGACCACACTAAGCCTGCCTTTCCACCATGGTTGGCATGTACTATAAAGGTCTAGGTTGTTCTCTTTAATATTGAGCTCTTCCAGGGTCCATGAAGGGTGCAAAATGAGCATGTGTGTCTCTATCATGCTCACATACATTATGGTGTATATATTGAACAATAACATTTAAAAACATTCAGTCCTTTTGAATAAATCTACAGTTATTTGATAGCATGAGTCAGTTACAAAGTAGTGTTCAGTTACATGATTTTATGTTGCCTTTCTCATCACTGCAACAATGAAAACCATTTAAAGAAGAGTCTGATTTGGCTCACATCTTGAAGATGCTGTCCCTCATGTCTGAGAAGGCTGGGCTGCAGGAGCCTGAGGCTGCTGGTCACATTCATCCGCAGTCAGGAAGCAGAATGCTGGTGTATACCTCCTTCTTCTCTTTTTATTGAGTACAGGACCCCAAGGGGATGCCTAAATATATATATATTTGAGACAGGGTTTCTCTGTGTAGTTTTGGTGCCTGTCCTGGCTCTCGCTCTGTAGACCAGGCTGGCCCCGAACTCACAGAGATCTGCCTGGCTCTTCCTTCTGAATGCTGGGACTAAAGGTATGTGCCACCACTGCCCAGTGGGGCTGCCCATATTTAGGGAGGATCTTCCCACATCAATTAACTTAGTTTAGAAACTCCCTCACAGACATGTCCAGACGTTTGTTTCCATAGTACTCTAAATCAAATTCCACTCTAGATAAAGCACCACAATTACTTTCTTCTCAGAACTCTGATAGGATTAGAGGGAATTTTAATAGCCCTAAGGAGTGTATAATTTTGTCAACTTATTTTAAAATGTGACGCAATGAAGTCTGGAGAAGTGATTCGGTATAAAGAGTGTCTCTTGTTCTTCCAGAGGACTTGAGTTCAGTTTCCAACATCCCGTCAGTTGGCTCACAACCGCTTGTAGCACCAGTTCCAGAGCATCCAACATTCTCTTCTGAACTCTGTGGGCTTTCACAATTATGTGGCGTACACACACACACACACACACACACACACACACACACACACACACACACACCAAATATTTAAAATTTGATGAACTAAATTCTTTAGGTTTGTATGTAACAATTACATAGAGATTACATTAGCAAAGACTTCACTAAGCATTTTGTATATACAACCTGTACATTCACCTAGGCCAAAATGACTCAACGATAGGAAATTCATTTATAAAGGGGTTTTAGAGAGGGCAGAGGAAGTAAGAGACTGGACACGGACCGTGAAGATAATGAAAGTCGAGAAGTGGCTGTGATCACTGTTTTCATGGGATATTGTGACCATGCCCTGAGTGCACCCTACGTATTTTAGCTGCGCAGGTGGCCTGTGTATCATCTTCAGATGCCAGCTGACGTTTCCATTCTTATGTTTTAATGCCCTTCACTCTGACTTTCTGATTGGTTTTAGCTATATGAGCCTTCCACGACACTGGGAGCAGGTCATGTGTTGGGTACCAAGAATGATGTGAGCTGGTGTGCAGAATTTGGAGTGTGTTCTGGGAGATGTCCAGTGATGTTTCTAGAGTCTAAGGTTTTGTCTTTCATCAGTGGAAGATGAAATGCAGTCAGCCAAGCAACGTGATAGTTGCACTCATGATGCCTGGGTATATTCCTCATCGTTCACTGGTAAGCAGAGCCAGGGGTGACTTACAGCAAGGAATGGGTTTGCATGGACTTCTATTTACCCACAAGGTAGTTAAAACATTTGCACCGAGGCTACAATTTCCATGCCCCCATCCGTACCAGAGCAGACATTTGTGTGATGGATGTGCCAACCTGATCCCCTCCCACACTGCTGTCATTCCTGGAACAGCTAGGCAGCCACCGCTAAGTAGTCCACAAATAAGCCTGGCTAAGAATAGTGTCTTATTTCTAGACCCTCCACAGGAGAAACTCAACACCCTGTTGGAGTCAGATAAGCAGAACTTGTTCTGAGAGCGTCGTCCAAGTGAGACCGCAGAGGACGGAGCCAGATTGAGTGAGTCTAAGTGCAGTCAGCTTTGCCGGATGCTGGATCAGACTGGAAAGTGCCTTTGATATGCTGCTGAAGGGTTGCCTGTCAGGACCTCGGGGGATTGGGAAACACTGACGAAAACTGTGCCCAGGGACCAAGTGAAAAATTGCCACTAACGTCTCACACTTGTTAGATGCCAATTAATAGACGCTGATATCTCTGTCACGTGTTCTACTAAAGTATCTTGGAAAGTTAAAGTTCAGTCTCAAGCCTTTAGCCACAAAGATATACTTTCTTTAGCTATAATTAATTTATTATTTTCTTTTAAAATTACTTCTTAATTTTATAAAAATAAGAATATGATTGGCAGTTTTTTTTCTTTTTTTCTCAAGACAGGGCTTCTCTGTGTAGCTTTGCCCCTTTCCTCAATCTCGCTCTGTAGCCCAGGCTGGCCTCGAACTCACAGAGATCCACCTGACTCTGCCTCCCTAGTGCTGGGATTAAAGGTGTGCTCTACCACTGGCCGGCGTTTGGCAGTTTTGAACAAAGCATTTTAAAGTAATTTTCCATCCCTTCATCTCACTCAACCCCAATACCTTCGAGCCCTCCTTTGTCCTACTTGACCCACAACTTACCCTTACCCATGCTTTCTTAACAGGTCCAATTTATAAAATTTGTCCCTAAACTTGCTGTAATTTTGCCATTGATACTATCCTTGATTTCCTCACCTGAAGACCTTGAGAGAGCAAGAATCATCATCCCATTTCCACTGGTGGCAAGTAGAGGCACAGATGTGTGCTCTCTCGGGTTTAAGTTTGGTACATGAGCGCTCTGGATGTAGTTACTATGCGTCTCTTCTCTTCCCCACTGTTCCACAGTGGCTTTGTGCACGTGACTCCGTGTCCAGGCGTCCATCCCCTCAGCATTCTTTCTCTTGTATATTTGTCTTCGTTTAGCAAAGAAAAGAAATCTTTGAGGCTATAAAAAGGGTCTCAGTTTACAGCGCAGTGTTTGAGGCAAACACACGAAGTTTCCCCAGGACTTAGAAGGGTCATGTCGATAATCATTCTCACATGACTCTCCACGGTCAGGAGGATATTGGGATAGCCTTTCTTCCGAGGCAGTACCTCTATCGTTCCACCACTGAACATACACGGCTTGCATTTAGACTGCCTGGTGCTGTCTGCTCTGGCCTAAATTATTCTTTCCAAGTTAGAATGTTTTTCCTTCTTTGGCATCCATTAAAAATCATCGGCAACATGGCCATCCTCCAGAAACACTTCTGTAATGTTAACCACAGGACTTGGTGTCTAAAAATAAGAATTGAAAAAGAGATTTAAGTTAATGCCCAGAAAGAAATCTTTCCATGTGTTTTTACTGGAATTTGGTAAGTCCTATTCTAGGCAAAAGTGTGTGGGTGCTGTTCTTGTACAGTGAGGCTGATCAGCCAGTACCCATTCCTTTTCATCCACCTTCCGTATTAGCCATTTTTCGTTCTTCATTGAAGGTCATGTCAGTTCAGACAGGGTTCTGTTTCACTCGGAGCCTGTAATGCACTGTGAGCAAGCTCCTCACTAATGGTTCCCAAGTTTTTGAAGTTTATATGGTCTGCTGGCCATCATTTGTTGCTTTCTTTATGGAACTGATTAAACTCACCAAATGATGCAACATGAAACAAAATAGTTTGGGAATGGTGTGGGCAGTTTAAAATTTGTTTGAAATTTAGTATGGACATTGTAAAATAAATAAATTCAAAATTAATTACTTGGGATCACCTCCCCTCCCATTCTTCTACCAAAAACTCTTGCAGCTCATTTTACAAGAATGACTATTTCCTAAAATAAATCATTCTTATTTGCTGTTTATTAATCCGTACTGAGCATTTCTATCTATTTTTCCTTTTTCTGAGTTTCAAGGCCACGGTCTACTTGTGAAACTCTCTAACCAGTCCAGTCGTAGACTTTCTCAAATGTTCCAGACCTAGTATGCTATTAATCATTCTCCTCACTCCTCCTCCTTCCCCACCATCCTTCCTTTCTTTGTCAGATCTCCTTTCTTTGTCTTCTTGTGAACACATGAACCATCACAGACGCTTCCTAGGGCAGGATGGTAAGGACTAGTGATAGATACAGTAACTTTTTCTGGGATATGGGAAAAATAAAAATATGCTTCATACAATGACAAGATAGCATTTTTGTTTGTTTGTTTTGTTTTTTGTTTTTCAAGACAAAGTTTCTCTGTGTATCTTTGGCATCCTGGATCTCACTCTATAGACAAAGCTGGCTTTGAACTTACAGAGATCCGTCTGCCTCTGCCTCCCCAGTGCTGGGATTAAAGGTTTGCACCAGCACATCTGATAGCACACTATTTAATAGATGATGATTCCTGACTTCTTTATGAAATTGTACTTACAAAGTTTACATGTAGTTGGAGAAATGTCACAGGTCTTCAATCTTTAGAGTAACTGTTATTATTCCTAGCCACTTCTGGAGGCCCATGACTGCCCATGCACTGTCAGCAGTCAGGCAAAATGCTTAGTCACTCCAGGGCCTTACATCCTACATAATCCATGTGCAGAATGGTCACATAATCTATGCGCATGTGTGGTGTAGCTACATAAGCATATATGTGTGTGAAGTGTCCTACAAAGGCAAGCTCTACTTACTCACTCACTCCCTGCTCTCTCAGAGGTAGTGCACCTCTCTCTCTCTCTCTCTTCTCTCTCTCTCTCTCTCTCTCTCTCTCTCTCTCTCTCTCTCTCTCCATCCCCTGCCCCACCCACACCTTTCTTTTTGGTAGGCCTACCCACCTCCATCTTCTAGCTTCTCTAATAAAAATTCCATTGTACCTCACGTTTTCTCACACCTAGGTGAATAACGCCAACAAGTAAATAGCATTGGTGTTGACACCAAACAGGCTTCTCAGCACACTGTGTGGGGATCCTGAACCCAGGTTGGTTCATCTGCAACTGCCCACTTTCCATCTGTCAGGCCACTGAATCACTTTGTACAACCCCAGCTACTTTGATTGGTGAGTTTTCCCTTAACCAGTCAGCATAGGCAGTTCCCTGGACCCATGGGAACGACTGTCAATTGTCCAGCATCCCTCTGGTGTCCTTGGAACTGGGGGTACCCCCATCCGTGGTCTTTAGCTGCTACGGTTGGCCCCCATTGCTGACTATTACCCCCAGCTATTCCCCATGACTGCAGTCTGAAGCCTTGTTTTTGTTCATTTCTCGTCTCTGAGACCCTCATCCTCATCCTCGGGCTACCACCCCGACCCTCGCTCTTTGCTCTATGACTGTCATCCCCCACAGGAAGCCTCGAGTAGCCATTACAGTATCGGGGTAATCCATCTCCTTCCTTGTGGACACCAGGGCCACTTACTTGGTCCTGAGGGAGTTTTGGGGACCCACTCCTCCTTCTCATCTGCCTATTATCGGGATAGGAGGACAGCCTTACCTATCTCATCAGACCCCACCACTTAATTGTATTTTCAGGAGTTTCTTTCTTACCCATACATTTTTTGGTCATGCCAACTTGCCCTGGGCCCCTAATGGGAAGAGATTTGTTTTAGCCAAGGTAGGAGCTTCCATTTCATTTGCTCCCCCCATTCACCTGACCCCAGACTCATCAGCAGCTCCTCTCCTCCTCCTCCTCCTAGCCTTTTTCCCCACCCCTAACCCAGGGCAATTCCTCCTCATACACAGTGACACAAACAGGGCCCTGCTCTCTTAGGTTCCAGAGGACTCTGAGATCAACTGCCTTGTCTCCAATTCCAAACAATGAGGTTTCATCCCACAACTGTACCCAACCCCACTGGATTGGGAACCCCATATATTTTTCTTCCTGATTCCCTCTCCATGTTCTCCTGTCTCTACTGACCACATTCTGTTTCATCAGTTTCCCTCTGTGTCTCTAATAACATATTCAAATTTCTAATTGACTACTCCGCTAACTGTTACAGGACCACCATCAGCCACAGAGCCGGAGGCACAAGGACCATCAAATATACTCCGGTGGGAGCTGACTTGGACTCACCCAGATAGGTCAGATCCAAACTGTCAGATCCAAGCTGTCAGAGCCAAGCAGCACTGGACAATCCCACAGGCCTCAAAACAGCAGCAAAGACAATCAGAAAGTCCGGCTAACTCAAGAAAAGTGCCCCCCCCCCCAATTAACTGATGCCCACCAAGTCAGCTGGAAACAGTTCTGAGAGACACAGTGCCCCCATTCCCGGTCACCCTCTACCTCTAACCCCTTAGTTTTCATAATAGCAAAAAGGGTGGACTGTTATTATCCCTAGCCATTTCTGGAGTCACATGACTGCATAAGCACTGTCAGCAGTCGGACAAAATGCTTAGTCACTTAGGGCCTAACATCCTACTTAATCCATGCAAATCGTGGTCATGTAATCTACACACCTGCATGGTGTAGCTGTGTAAGCCCATAGACACATGCTCGAGGTGACCTATAAAGCAGGCTCTACCCACTCCCCACTCTCTCTCTCCTTCTCTCCAGAGGTAGCACACACCTCTCTCTCTTTCCTTTTCCCACCACACTTTTCTTTTCTTTAGACCTACCTCCCCCCTTTCCCTTCCCTGATAAAAACTCTTATAGTGTGTTCCGTTGTACCTCATGTTTTCTCGCTCCTGGTAAATAATGGCCACAAATAAATAACAGTCAGGACAATTCTGTACGTGTTCTCTTTCCTCAATAAACTGTAAATGCTGTTTCACACCTTTGAGCATGTTTAGATTTAGGTTAATGGGTTTAGTCACACACCCAGGTTTGGAATGTGTCAGCCTTATTGCTCTTTTTCTAAAAGAAATTTTAGTTTCTTACTTTCTTGAGTATCTTGTCTGATGAAGATTACTATAGATTCACCCAGGCACAAAAAAATTATTTTTATCCAGAATGACTTTGTTCAATGTCTTTAGGACCCAGGTATTTCTTGTAGGCCCTTCTTGGAATTCACAGTTTATGATATCCAAAGCTGTAGCTTTGATTTTATGATGCTGGTGGCGGAAACAAGGCCCTTGCTCATGCAAAACCCATGGTCTATACGCCCAACCCGAAGTGATGACTTTTACATTTATGTAAACGAGTTAAAATACATTGGCATTTTCCAATAATATAGTCTTAGAAGTTTCCCAGGTTGACCTTTATCAGTTTTCAAAATGGTGACTTTTCTTTCACCAAGTAGACCGACACTGTTGGGACCCAGTGAATCAAAAGGAGGACTCCGTTCTTGTGAGTCAAAGTCCAATATTTGCTCTTTTGTCCCATTAGGCTCTTACTATTTATTTCAGAGACAAGAACTCATACAATCTTGCTAATATGACAGAAACAATTATCTTTAAAATTCTCATAGTTTCTGCACATTTGCTTGATTCCTGTTCATTCTTCCCATTCTTAATCGTGTCAGGATGAAGGTGAAATTCAAGTAAAAATTTCATAAAAATATGAGTATGCCTGCCCTATGACTTCTGGTAAGCCCAGACACCTGTGCTGACATCTTCCACTGGCTAGCTTGGTGGCAAGCCACAGATGACCTTGTGCCCAGACACCTGTGCTGACATCCTCCACTGGCTAGCTTGGTGGCAAGCCGCAGATGACCTTGTGGACCAAGTTCCCCATTTTGTTTGTTATCCTTAGAGCTCTTCCAGGCACTGGGAGGAGCTGTGAAATCTTCAGAAACAATTCCAAGTCAGTAGATTATGCTGCCAACCCTTTCCCAGCAGACACAGATGTGGGTGGTGGTCTGTAGATTTCCAAGGTATTGTCACCGGGACTTTCTTGAGCAGAAATGCCATTAGCACATCCAGCTGTGGTGAAGACAAGCACAGACTTCTAATGAAGTCTGTCCAGCTTCCTCTGGCATGGGGACTGTCTTGTATCGTCACTGTCTCATGTGTGCTCCGAGGGATACAGTATTTGTGCCCGTCACAACAAGCTGTGTATGACATGAAGGAAATATGACAACCAGCTTCACTTCTTCCCGCCTTCACTGATTGGCAACACCGTTACAAAGGCATAAACCTAGAACCCAGTCTCTTCAATGGAGGACAATACCTGCCAGTTGCTTATAATTTAGGAATCCTTAGAGATGACTTGACATTTTATTATGTTTGAGTCATTTTTTAAATCTTGGGTTTGGCATATGTTGAGTTTTGGGTTTGTACAAGCAATGCATTTGATGTTAGTCAAAGCCCCCAGCTTCAAGTCCTAGAAGAAGATGAGGACAAAGAGGACACAGACAAGGGCTCCCCGTGGCCAATGCTTTTGTGTCGATTTTGCCCACTCTGAGGTCCTGTGATGTAGAGCTTGGTGAGCTTGAGAAGCGCGCGTCCGCTGGGATGGCCCGCAATTGGACCTCACAGATGATCCATCACACAGTCTGCAGTCATTTGGTAAACCGAGCCTGGGGCTTGTCAGAAACATTTTCCTCAGTGCGCTAGTGTGTGCCCTGTAAGGGAAATTTAATCCATATGTGTCAAAGATTCATTTACACTTAAATCACTACAGCATTGTTCTGAGCTTTTGATGTCTGACAAGTCTTTTGACTTTTTCCAAGCAGTTCTCGGTGCCCTGCCAAGGGCAGTCCTAATCCTCAACAGTAGAAAATGCAGGTTTCCTTCTTGACGCTCAACTCCTTTGCCTCCTCTCTGGGAAAAGTTCTTTCGCAAAGTCACATTTACCTGCCTCTGTTCAAAATGCCCGAAGGCAGCTGAACTGTGGAAAGGGACAACGTGATACAGGGTGATTTCCACATCTGGCCCCGATTGATGGGGGGCCTTCAGGGCCTGCTTTCTAACTTGGCAGGGGGCACAAGATGTATTTTCCTTTCATTTACCTCTACTCACTGAAGGCATTGTGTGCAGCAAACACAAGAATATTCTAGATTCATCTGGTCTATGGTAACAAAAGGAAGGAACCTGGTCTTGAGGGAAGGACTTGGGGGTCAACATATTAAAGGACATGGATGCTCCGAGAAGGAGAATGACATCTCGGTTCTTCCAGGCTGGGAGTTACTCTGCTGTCGGATTCACCAACTGTCCTTAAGTTCCACAATCTGCAATAGTCTCTTCATAGAGGTCGCATAGCTGCTTGGTGTAGGGTGTTCTGTCTAGCTAGAACTATCAGTCCCTGGCCCCCATTGCAATAACAACTACTGTTACTTGGGCTGGGTCTGATTCCGGAATACTGTGGCTGTCTCCTTAAGAAACTTCTTTTAGTGTTTTGCCTCCTTATTTTCAATTGCATTTCCCATGATCTCTTTCCCTTTCTCTTTTCTGCTCACAAAGCATCCTATATCTTCCTGTCATTGAGGAAACAGGTGATAAATTTAGTTCTATGGAGGGCTTACTGAGAACGTACTGTTTCTTAAACATTGTTGACAGCTAGAGGTAGAATATGTCTCTGACATTTCTTTGCCTACAACAGTGCTTGGCATTCTACTGTTGTGCAAGCATTGTAATGCTTACTGAATAAATGTAGTATCTGTGTCTGTGAAAGAGCAGAGCTGATTGTAAAAGGCTGAAACTCAATCATGAAATAGCAGTTGTAGATTGAGCTTCAATATTCTTGGCTTTTTTAATTTCTTCTAATTATTTTACCTTTTAAATCTTGACTCCATTACTAGAATGTACATTAACTAACGACAGCCCATGGGCTAATAATTTTAAGTGGAAGTCTTTATACTGCCCTCTGGTCACCCCATTCATGTGACAACTGGTCATTTACTGAGGACAGAATGAGATTGGCCTTTATCTGCAGAGTGTTAAACTTGCATGAAAGCAGTGTGTAGGGCCATTATCCACTTCCTGTGGTAGTCTTGTCTTTTCTTTATGGAGTGATATTTTTTTGTGGAATATTTGTTTAACTATGAAAAGATGTGTTGCATTTGCTTAACTTTGTAAAGATGTGTTACATTTGTTTATGTTGCAGAATATTGGTTTAACTATGTAAAGATGTGTTGCATTTGTTTATGTAAAGATGTGCTGCTGTTTTACCTTGCCTCCCTAAGGCACCTGATTGGTCCAATGAAAAGCTGGAAGGCCAATAGGGAGGGAAGAGGTATAGGTGGGATTTTCAGGCAGGGAGAGTAAGTAGGAGGAGGAATTTAGGCTCAGGGGAAGAAAGAAAAAGAGATGCCAGGGAGACACCAGGGACCAGTTAGCCAGACACGGAGGAAGCAGGACATACAGAATGAAAGAAAGGTAAAAAACCCTGAGGCAAAACCTAGGGAATAGGAACAGGTTAAATTAAGTTAAAAGAGCTAGTGGGATAAGCCTAAACTAAGACCAAGCTTTCATAATTAATAACAAGTCTCCATGTCTAGATCTGGGAGTTGGTTGGCAGTCCCAAGAAAATTCCAACTACAATATTTCTCCTTTATAATGTGAGGGTTAGACTATGTTATAAGCTAAATGTGAAATGCCCTCCACAAGCTCATGAGTTTGAACACTTGGACCCCAGTTCATGGCACTACACTGGGAGGTGACACTTTATGGGAAGAAATGTGTCACTGGGGCCAGATCATGAGGTTTATAGTCTAGTCCCTCTTCCTGTCTAGTCTCTACTTCCTGTTCTACATATGTGTATGTGTCAGGGGTGGGGGTGTGAGGAATCCCAGCGATATGCACTTGCCACGACAGAACTCCCTGTCACCATGCTTTCTCTGTCATGATGGACTAAATTGTCTCTAACCATGCCTCACAGTAAATGTTCCCTGCCTTGAATTGTGTTTGTGATTGTTCTGTCTCCTGGCTATAAAAGCAATGAATATACATTGGTTCAGATGTTCTGGGCCTTTTGTACCTTCTAAGGCTGTTACGTTCTTAGGAAGGCTCAAGATTACAGCTATTTGGGAAAGTGACATCTGGTCACCCCTGCTGAATACACCTTTATTCTCTTGTTCTGTCTAATATTTGGTCACAGCCTCAAGAAGAGATAACTAATCCATATGTCAAAGGATTTGCTCCAATACCTAAAAGAGCAAAAAATCTAGAGTATCCTGGGAGCATGTTTGCTGGTGAATAGAGGCTGTATGGTAGAATTTCATCTGAGACTTGCCTTCATTGATATCATGCACTTAGTGACTGAGGGGTATCCCATTCCTACTCACTGCTAACTAATAGATACCACCCATAATTGCCAAACAAACATGATCATGTTGGTTTGCATGAGTTCTCAAAACTGGTGGAGACCCGCAGGGAGTCCAGAAATAGCCTTGGTGTGACATGCTCCCAGATAGCTGTAATACCTCTTGTTCCCAAATTTCTACAGCTTTCCTAAACAATCACCAGTTGGGGACCAAGATTAAAACAGCGAACATGTGGGAAACATGTCACATTAAACTGTAATGTTACATCCCTGGCCCCTGTAGCCTCATAGTCGTCTCAGAATGCAAAATACCTCCAGTCCAACTTCAAAAGCTCCCATAGTCTTAACAGTTCCAATGAAAAACTTCTAAGTCCCATATTTCTTTTGAGTTATGAGCTCCAGTAAAATTGAGAAGTAAACAAATTTTAAAAAGTAACAACAAGAACAACAAACAACCCCCCCAAATAGTTAATTATATACTTCCAATATACTATGTTACAGAATGAACATCCTAATTCCAAAAGGGAGAAATGGGATATGGTAAAGAAATAAT